TAGTTCGAAAGTAACCACAAAACTCTCCAAATTTGAACCAGACGTTCTCCAATCCCCTTCTAAACGTAGTACAGTCATTATAGTGCAAACAAGAGGGCGTGTGGGTTGCATAACAGCTCACCACTTGGTCGAAAAGGCTGCCCAGGATGCACTCCAACCCAGACCACTCAATCTGGTCTGCAGTGACAACGACTGTAGTACGTTGGAAATGGTCCCGGCAGCAGTTCCGCCAGCTCGCGGGGACCTCGGTGTTTCCCACCAATCGCTGCACGGATCTTCTTCCCCTTTGGTAAGCGCACCCACTGCCCTTTAGCGAAGGAACAAAAAACTTCAATGGAGCTTCAACTAACCTTCAAACTGTATTTATTGCAGGCATGGAGAACACCGTCACTGATCCGTCACCAGCCGTAAGCACCAACGCGACCAGTATGCCACGTGCTTCCAGTGCAGATAGTTCCAGTTGGGTCAACTTTTTATGATTTTGTGAAGGAGGATTAGCTCAAAGAGCGTTCACCGACTTGGATTGTCAGAGCAGCGGTAGCAGACAGTTGTCGGTCCAGGCAGAGAAGCAGACAGCGTTTGTAGGACAGGGAGCAGACGACACAAGAAGCCAGTGATGCAGCTCTCACCGCTCTGCCTCAATCGCCGACTGCCTAGCACAACCGCGCTCACGACCATGTCCGTGGACACTCTTGAGCCCCGTTCAGGGTGCGAGATACCGACTGCATGGCCATCAGAAAATAGGAAATATTTCCGCCACATATAATTATGGTATTTATCTTGGCCATTTCTCAAAAATAGGGGCAATGAGGCACAGTCGGCGGGGTTATGTGACACGGGCGATGGCACGCCCAACCTTCGCGCGATAAATTATACGATGTCATTGAATGGTTGAAGGTGGAAGGGGCCGGGAGTAAGCCGCTCCTGAGGCTGATTGAGTGAATGCGCTGTGCAATGTCCCGTAAGCTAATGGAGACAGTCCCAGAAAAAAAACCTCGGAACAAGAATAAAGTCTGTTAGTCACAATCACCCAGGTTCACACGGAGCGAGTGTCCACATGCAACCTACTCAGGAAACGCGAAAAGTGGCTTTCCATGAATTTCGCCTAAAAACCCGAGATCTTTCACGCAGAAGGCGCCGGTTCAGCTGAACAGTGAATAATATGGATTGTAAAAAGTGATTCGTTCACAATGGTTAAGTGTTGAAAAAAAAAGCAAAGAAGAAGAAAAGTAAAACACAAAAAATAAAACGGCGGGAAACTTTTCTGACAACCTGTCGCTCCTTACCCGTATGTCAACCGAAAAAAGTGGTTCTACTAGCCCCGCGAGAATTCAAGAAAAGAAGACCTACACGGCTCACAATGATCGGATAGGCGGAGGTGCTTAGTAACGCTAGGTATACTTTGCGGCAGCCTCCATTGCGCCATCTCTCTACAAGCAGTGTGCCACCCTCCATCTCCCCATACTCTACCCAGCTGTCTGCTACCGTCCTATCGCGCGAATATTCTCTACCAGCAATCTCCTCCATTAAAATGATAAAATTCGAAAAAATTCAAACCCACCTGCTTATCTCCCCCAATATTCAACCACGTGCCTACTGCCCTCCTATCGCGTCATACTCTCCTCTCCCGGACGCTGAGAGATGCTGGTGCACGCTGGCACACGCTAGTAGACGCTAGATCGATACTTACACTTCCCAGGCTCTCGAGACGCTGGTGGGCGCTGGTAGACGCTGGCGGTGCTAGATCGATATCTTTACTTCCCAATCGCTGTCGCTGCCGGACGCTCGAAACGCTACTGGACGCTGCTGCAAAGGTTAAAAAGTATGAACGCACCCAAACGTGTCCTAATTCGTTACCACGCTTTTTCTCTTCCCCGTATTGGGCAAAAAAAACAGCGAGAAAGGCACAATGATTGGGTGTTCCCGACAGTACGTTCAAGGTAGTCTGTGTATTTTAGTAGTATCTTACACCTTTTTTGCAGCAGTGAGAACATCGACACCAGTTACACCACCTCCCACCGAACTACAACAGCCTCCGTCACAACCGCCTCCTGACCGTCGCACTTGAATGCCTCAAATAATGTGTCACTGCTTTCACATATAATGATTTCAGCTAACAATCGAATATCGTAACACGTTCGTGCCTTAGTTTCTAATTGTCTACAACACCTTACGCATAGGCTCATTTACAAGCTTAATGCTTTTTTAATTTCGGCTACGACAAATAGAAATAAACGGCTTCTAGAACTTTCCTTGTCACTTTTTGAAGAGCCGCTACCCGAAGGATAAATCGGTCACAAACCTAGAAGGTCTTGCAGATGTAGGAAGCATCACGCTCCGGAGTATCAAAGTGGTACAGAAAGGCTTTTCCTCAGAAGATAGGGGGTTGATAAAAAGATATCATCTCTCTGGAGGAATCTAAATATGTGAGAAGTGATCAAGGGCTAGTGAACTGGGGCTAATTCACACCCTCTTTGACATCTCTTTCAGCAGTGCTTTGGAGGGTATGATTACGCAC